TTCTCGTTCATGCGCGAGGGCCTGGACGATAATACGGCGTTCTCCACGTGCGCCGACCCCAATTTGGTGAGGTGTCAGATCGCACAACATTAAGAAGCTGGATTCCGTCGGAAAGAGAAATGATATTGTAATAAAATATGGTCAATATATGATTTCCCCTCATTGTCATATCTACATGCGTTGTCGCTTAGGCTGTGCCCGAAAGTTTTAATAAGGCTGACCAGTGCTGCTGAGATGGCAGATGTCCTAGACAAGGTTTCTGTGAACATTCAGCTTACTGTAGGGCAGGTGGCCTCTGAATATCGATAGCAGGTGTAAGCAAGGGAGCGAAATGGATTGACGGAAGGCGCTCATGAAGGCACTAACTGTCGATTCAACTATCTAGGAAAATTGCCTGTGCTGACCAAAAACTAACTGTAATAAGCAATTTTCTCCTACCTTGCAGCAGTCAGTGTGACGTTACTTCGGTTTCGGCATGCGCAAGTTAATTTGCCAGATAACCTGGTTGGCGATACACAAGGAGCATAGCTGTCCTCTTCAGAAGTGATCGTCGGCCAAAGTGATAATTGGTGGGCATTTTATACTCGCGCAAGGGCGCATCAATGTACGAGCAGACCCTGTGGAAGGCATGTCCCAGGTTATCGATGTAGCACGCAGGCCTTTTCAGACACCTGTTTGCGTTCCCAGGATAGGTGTTCGTCACGTTCCCAAGATGCCGAACCACCGCTTTGCAAGGAATGACCCAGTTCGAGTGATATGGTATTATGGGGCAACTATGTGTAATGTAGAGTAAGGAGTAGTTCACTGAAAGGTTTCCAAATGACGTCAAAATCTACAGGGTTGCCATTTAGTAAATGTCTACCTAGTCGGATGCGTCATCAAAACGGGCCATACGGTGGAATGAATGTCGGCTACGGTTAGAAAAATTCTGCGGAAGTGACGAGGTTTTACTGAAATGTGCGTAGTTCTCAATGGCACGGGGCACGCGGAAATAAAACTGTATTATGTCGTTCCCGAATACAGCCTCGGCTGCCGACGTCTGTTATGTTACCCTATTTAGTGTGTATGCCCTAATGGAGTATCGCGCACCCGTCACATCTCTGAACAAGCTCAACTATATGCGCAAAGATGCGAAATACTTACGACTAACAAATACATGAACAGTGCCCGATCTCCATACCATCCGTCGCAAGTAAGGTGCACGGTCTGCATCTGCTGAGTAGTCGTCAAACGCTGGAAAAGAACTTACCCACAGTAGCTCCTACCGTGCGTATCACGATCTTTAACGGCGCCTAGGAAGCGTAGGAGCGGAGACACTTTTAGGCGCGGGGAAAAACTTAACAAAGGCGACTGATTTTGGGTTCCACTGTCAACAAACTCCGAGTTTTCGCATGTCTGACGTGCGCTGGCGTAGAGCCTGCAAAATCTTGCTTACTGGGTGGTTGTGCTGTGGGCGGCAGAATGTCACAGAAGTGGAGTCACTACATCAGTGGGGGAAGATCCTTGCCGGACCCTCGATACAATATGTGCGTCAGTCACAAAATACCCAGCAAACTTACCGAGTGTGATGAATTCCGGAGCCCCGCTCTTGTTTGGCGAGAAGCATCTTGCGACGATAAAATATATTTTCTTACAAAAGTTCGCGAGCGGCTGCCTCGTTTAGAGTTTAAACGGGAAGAAACGGGGCAATTATGGTCCATGTTATCATTGAAGGCATTTTCAAGAGAGATGAATGAGAATAACATGCATAATCGTAGTTCTCCTAGCAATCTTCCACTGTCTTCGTATACATGTCAGACTGAGTCCATGCGGTCCAAAAATATGAATTGCGCACCCAGAGTGAGCATTTCTTAGGATGACACTATTTTAGGAAAATCATGAGCATTTCCCAAGATTTTAGAGTCCGAAAAACTACCCCAAATGGCAAGAAATTGTGTGATCCTCCACTCAAGCCATGGTTTGAGAGAGGTTTTTGGTATGCCCTTGAGAATCAGCTACTGAAAGCAGCCAGTAGAACAGCTGGACCGCCGGGAACTTTGTCGGTACACTGAAGCGCTTAGAGGCTTGTAGGCAACCGGAAGATGAAAATGGACTGCAACTGGTATTTTGGAATGACAGTAATTCAGGGTAGTTGCTGGTCGGGTAGCTGACTCCTTGTTTGGTGAAGAGAGTAACAAAGCCGCACAAACGCATGAACAGCCACCTGTGAAGCTTCGGTGAGAGTCTCGATCCTGTCTATCCATGCGTGACTCCGTGAGGAGGCCCATTAGCCGTACAATGCTCTTTCATGACCGAAGTAAAACTTTCTGAGCCAAAATTTTGCATTTTGGTGTGCATTTTCTCAAACGTGAAGCCATTCTAATCCATTTCCTTTTTTGCAACCAACTCACTGAAGCAATAATATTTCCGGCGGATAAGTCTGGTGGAACAATTTGTAAATGATATTGTAATAAAATATGGCCAGTATATGATTCCCCTTCATTGTCATATCCACATGCGTTGTTGCTTAGGCTGTGTCCGAAAGGTTTAATAAGGCTGACCAGTGCTGCTGAGATTCACTCACTGAAGCAATCATATTTCCGGCGGATAAGTCTGGTGGAACAATTTCCCCGGGATGGCTAAATGGGGCTCAAAAATTTAGGCTGGTACTCGGTTCTCCATTTTTCGATTGCTCTAACCTATCAGGGACACGTCATGGCTTTCGAAAATTTCATTCTATTGTGCGAATACCAAACGCCATCCGTGAGCATCCTTTGTTCAAAAGTAACATCCGGGTGCAATTCAACCAATCAAAGGCCTCCTTTCACTCCACTCGCTTATTTCCGTTCTCGGACCGTTGCTCACTCCAACCATGGACTTTCAGCATCGTGCTGGAGGAAAAACTGGGTCTGGAGGGGTCGCTTCAGATGCGGAGGCCAACAGAGATAGACGGGAACGCCTCCGACAGCTGGCTCTGGATACCATCGATCTGAACAAGGATCCCTATTTTATGAAAAACCATCTTGGGACTTATGAATGCAAACTATGCTTGACATTGCATAATAATGAGGGCAGTTACCTGGCCCACACACAAGGTAAGTATTAAATATTCTCGTGCAGGATAGGCGTTGGTCACGTTCCCAAGATGCCGAACCACCGCTTTGCAAGAATGATCCACGTTCGAGTGATATGGGATTATGGGGCACCTATGTGCAATGTAGAGTAAGGGGTAGTTCACTGAAAGGTTTCCAGATGACGTCAATATCTACGGGGTCGCCATGTAGTAGATGTCTACCTAGTCGGATGCGTCAACAAAACGCGCCATACAGTGGAATGAATGTCGGCTACGGTTAAAAAAAGTCTGCGAAATTGACGAGGTTTTACTGAAATGTGCGTAGTTCCTAATGGCACGGGGCACGCGGAAATAAAACTGTGTTATGTCGTTTCCGAATACAGCCTCGGCGGCCCACGCCTGTTATGCTACCCTATTTGGTGTGTATGCCCTAATGGGTATCGCGCACCCCTCACATCTCTGAACAAGCTCAACTGTATGCGCAAGGATGCGAAATACTTACGATTAACAAATACATGAACAATGCCCGATCTCCATGCCATCCGTCGCAAGTAAGGTGCACGGTCTGCATCTGCTGAGTAGTTGTCAAACGTTGGGACAAAACTTACCACAGTGGCTCCTACCGTGCGTAGCACGATCTTTAACGGCGCCTAGGAAACGTAGGAGCGGAGGCACTTTTAGGCGAAGGGAAAAACGTAACTGAAACGACTATTTTTTGGGTTCCACTGTCAACAAACTCCTCCGATTTTTCGCATGTCTGACGTGCGCTGGCGTAGAGCCTGGAAAATCTTGCTTACTGGGTGGTTGTGCTGTGGGCGGCAGAATGTCACAGAAGTGGAGTCACTACATCAGTGGGGGAAGATCCTTGCCGGACCCTCGATACAATATGTGCGTCAGTCACAAAATACCCAGCAAACTTAATGTGTGTGATGAATTCCGGAGCCTCGCTCTTGTTTGGCGAGAAGCATCTTGCGACGATAAAACATATTTTCTTACAAAAGTTGCGAGCGGCTGCCTCGTTTAAAGTTTAAACGGGCAGAAACGGGGCAATTATTGTCCAAGTTATCTTTGAAGGCATTCTCAAGAGAGATGATTAAGAATATGCATAATCGTAGTTCTCCTAGCAATCTTCCACTGTCTTCGTATACATGTCAGACTGAGTCCGTGCGGTCCCAAAAATATGAATTGCGCAACCATAGTGGGCTTTCATAGGCTGACACTATTTTAGAGTCCGAAAAACTACCGGAAAATGCAGGAAACTGTGTGAAGTTTTCCTCCACTCAAGCCATGGTTTGAGAGAGGTTTTTGGTATGCCCTTGAGAATCAGCTACTGAAAGCAGCCAGTAGAACAGCTGGACCGCCGGGAACTTTGTCGGTACACTGAAGCACTTAGTGGCTTGGAGGCAACCGGAAGATGAAAATGGACTGCAACAAGTATTTTGGAATGACATTAATTCAGGGTAGTTGTTGGTCGGGTTGGTGACTCCTTGTTTGGTGAAGAGGGTAACAAAGCCGCACAGACGCATGAACAGCCACCTGTGAAGCTCTGGTGGAAGTCTCGATCCTGTCTATCCATGCGTGACTCCGTGAGGGGGCCCATTAGCCGCACAACGCTCTCAGCTGCAAAATCTTCATGACTGAAGTGAAACTTTTTGAACCAAAATGTTGCATTTTGTTGTGCATTTTCTCAAACTTCAAACCATTCTAATCCATTTCCTTTTTTGCAACTCACTCACTGAAGCAATCATATTTCCGGCGGATAAGTCTGGTGGAACAATTTCCCCGGGATGGCTAAATGGGGCTCAAAAATTTAGGCTGGTACTCGGTTCTCCATTTTTCGATTGCTCTAACCTATCAGGGACACGTCATGGCTTTCGAAAATTCCACTCCATTGTGCGAATACTGAGCACCCCACAAAACGGGTCCTTATGTTTGGCGCACATGTGTTCTCGGACCGTTGCTCACTCAAACCATGGACTTTCAGCATCGTGCTGGAGGAAAAACTGGGTCTGGAGGGGTCGCTTCAGATGCGGAGGCCAACAGAGATAGACGAGAACGCCTCCGACAACTGGCTCTGGATACCATCGATCTGAACAAGGATCCCTATTTTATGAAAAACCATCTTGGGACTTATGAGTGCAAACTATGTTTGACATTGCATAATAATGAGGGCAGTTACCTGGCCCACACACAAGGTAAGTATTAAATATTCTCGTGATTGCTCCGGCTGCTTTCTGCTACCCGTTGCACCATATTTTCCTGTTTTTAGTGTATGGTAACGGCTCTTTCGTGCGGTTCATGTGATTAATGGGTGTTGTTTGTAAGCACAAGATGGACCACAGGATCAGGAATATCCGATTATTTTTTGTATCCTTCGTGATAGCACCTACGCCGGACTACTTAAGGATATATTAGTACGTAACGATGGTCAGTGGGTAAGACCACTTCATGGTCCGTAAGCTACATAGGGACTACACAGAGGATCATCACCGCCTGAAATTCGCTTCCTGCCGTCATGGAAGATGGAGAGAATAACATGAGTTGCCTAAATATTAGACGAACCAAATCGTCACTGGTGACCGTCGAGCTGAAGCCGGTGCGGCGGATGTGCTCAACCGGCCTCCTTACTGTTCTCTGCTAACTAAATCACCGAAATCCGCTCACAGCTGATGCTTTGCGTTTATCCTGCGTACGCACTGAACATTATGTCAACGCCCCCAGTTATTCCGGGAAAGTTCAAGAATATTTTCCCACTAATACAAAAGGGTGCTCGTACCGTCAGGTGTAACGCTCATGGCCTTTGTGTTCAACATAAATCAGTGGTCGTAAGGAAGTGGAAACAATCCAATGTATGTTATGTCAAGAGTACTTAGCTGACTTAGGCGTATTAGCAAATGATTCCGAAGCACTTACTGTAACTGAAGCCTGGCCTAGCCAACATGAAGTTAAACGTTATGCTGGGTGGAACGAGATAGATGCTTGGGTGGGGATGGCATGACGAAAATTTCTAAATCGTCCAACTGTAGCACCCTTTCCGTGCCTAGCTGCCACGCCAACAGAAGAAGACACGAGGGCTACGATATTGTCTGGTTGCCCAAATCCAGACAGGAGCAGTCGAGATGCTGAGGTAGGGTTCGAGCCACTGACCTTATGGTCCGTAAACTGACTCTTTCACCACAGCTACATGGACGCCGGATGCCACGCTCCTCATGACAGCCTGTATAGCAGTTTGAAAACAATCCCGTTGTATCACAGGTTATGCAGATTGGTTTTATGTTAAAGGCAACACCAACTTGTTATTGGCCTGTATCTACCATAGTCATTCGGGCAATTGAGACGTATGGCCACTCACATTGATGCTCAGCGCAATCGATGAAATTTTTATAGTTGCCTTGCAAAAAAGTGAAAGAGAAATTAGAGGGGTGCCAGCGGTAGCCCGACTTGCTTACCCGCTCTCCTGTATGTAGCGAGTAAGGTTGATGTGATGGCTCGACGGCCGCTATAGCATGAGAGTATTGTCAGTTGTAAGGGTTGTG